AATGCTTTTTAACAATGGATCTGTGCCGATATACTCCGCCTTCCTTCTTATTAAGAATAAACCACCTATGCTTCTACTTAAGGTGATATCTCTGCTTGTACACACTGCTTTAACAATTTTCCACTCTTTCTTGCATCATCAGTTTATTCCTCTCTATTGGAGCGCTCCCATTAGTATGCTATTTCTCTCCTATTCAAAAAAATCCTCTCTTCACTCCAGCTTCCCCCTTAAGCTGCTGCTACATGTGTTTCTCCTCCCACTCTCCCTTGAATAGTCCATCTTTAACTTCACCTATAAATAAGATTTTCACAGATGATCACTCTTCCTTCCTTCAAACATTTACATCACTTTCAGATATTCTGAAAGACAAATGAGTTTTCCTCTTAACCTCACTGAGTTTTCTTCTCTAGCCACATCTACTAATTCCTCTTTTTCTCCTAACCCCTTTACTAAAGGTGCCCCAAGGCCAGTATTTTAAGTCTTCTCTATCTATGTTTACTGTACTGCATCAATGTTACATCTTGATACCGTTTGACCTTTGTACTTTGTGATCCTTCAGCTCACTCTCTCACCTCCTTCAGGTCTTTACTCACATGTTACCTTATCGGTGAGCTTTCCCTGATCACTCTATTTAAAATTTCCATTCTTCTCCCTATACTCCAAACTCTCTATCTCCCACTGGCTGCTTTATTTTCCTTCACAGAATCACTATCTAAGGTACTACATATTTTATTTATTTATCCTGCTACTTATCAACCTCTCCACCCTGGAATGTAAGCTTAATCAAGTTAAGGATTTTTATCCATTCTGTTTTCAGTGTGATAGCTCCTAAAACAGTCCTCAATGAGTAAGACTGGCTTCAAATTTCTCGGGAGGAATAATGGATAGTAGAAAAAATTAAAGCAAAGCTTTCAAAGTTCAGAGGAAAATCACTTTAAACTAGAAACATATACCCAGCTAAATTATCAATCAACTGTGAAAATAAAATAGAAAATTTTTCTAATATTCACAACTCAGAAAATTCATCTCCCATTTAGCCTTTCTGAAGTTGTAGTTAAAGGATGGATGATGACAAAAATGGGATATAAAAACCAGTACAACTAACTCAATATTATAGTGAAAAGAAATCTCCGAAAGATAGGCCAGCAAAAGAACAAGGAAGCTCTGTTTTATATTTAACTAGGAGGTTGAGGTTGAGAAATGTCCTCAAATAGAGTGTAAATAACTTTACCAAAATGTTATTTTATGATTTAGGAGCCCAAAAGTACAACTGTAGTATGCTATCAAAAAAAAAAAAAAAATATATATATATATATACACACACACACACACATATATACACACACACAGGCATAAATCTCTTATGAGCATTAAACAAAAAGAACGGCAATTTAAAACTCTTATTAAAAAAAATTACACATATACCTAAAAGAAAAAAAAATGATACAAATGTGAAAGAAAATATATGATTTTGAGCAAATGAAGAAAAGAAACCTTTTATTCTGGGAAAAATATGTTCACTGGTCAGGTAGTTCTGGAGAGAAAATAGAACTGAATGATAGTCTGAAATGATGTATAATTACTATTTAAGAAATATAATTGCTAAATAAGAAATAAAATATGCGACAGGCATGGTGGCTCATGCCTATATAATCCCAGCACTTTAAGAGACCAAGATAGGTGGATCACTTGAGTTCAGGAGTTCAAGACCAGCCTGGGCAACATGGCAAAACCCTGTCTCTACAAAAAATACAAAAATTAGCCAGGTATGGTGGCTCACGCTTATGGTCCCAGCTATTTGGGAGGCTGAGGTAAGAGGATTGCTTGTGCCTAGGAGGCAGAGGTTGCAGTGGGCTGACATCATGCCACTGCACTCTGGCCTGGGAGACAGAGTGACACCCAATCTCAAAAAAATAAAAGAAATAAATTACTTAAATATATAAGAAATAGATCATTTCTCTACTTTGTTAAAAGTCATTTATCGGTATCATTAGATATCCTGATTTAAAAAAAAAAAAAAGGAAAATAGTAAGTGTTAGCAAAATGTAGAGAAAGTGGAACCCAGCTGGGTGAGATGGCTCATGCCTGTAATCCTAACACTTTGGGAAGCCAAGGTGGGCGAACTGCCTGAGCTCAGGAGTTCAAGACCAGCCTTGGCAACATGGAAAAACCCCGTTTCTACTAAAAATACAAAGAATTAGCCGGGCATGGTGGCATGCATCTGTAGTCCCAGCTACTCAGGGGGCTGAGGGAGGAGAATCGCTTGAACCTGGGGGGCAGAGGTTGCAGTGAGCCAAGATTGTGCCACTGCATTCCAGCCTAGGTGACAGAGCAAGACTCTGTCTCAAAGAAAGTAGAACCCTCATACACTGCTGACAGGAATGTAAAATGATGCAACTGCCATGGAAAAGTTTAATGGTTCCTCATAAAGTTAAACACAGAATTACAATATGACCTAGCAATTCCACTCGTAGGCACATACCCATATGAACGGAGAATAGGTTCTCAAACAGGTTCATTAACACATTTAGAGCAGCACTATTCAGAGTAACCAAAAAGTAGAAGCAAACCAAATGTACATGAACGAATAAATGGATAAACAAATGGACTAGCATTCAGCCAAGAAAAGTAATGAAGTAATAATAAGTGCTATAACATGAATAAAAATTTGAAATATTATGTTAAATGAAAGAAGCTACCCACAAAACATCACATATTTTATGATTACATTCATATTAAATATACAGAACACATAAATCCATAGAGACAGAATGCAGACTGATGGATGTCAGAGCCTAGGGCTAAGGCAGAATGAAGACAAACTGCTAAATGGGTAAGGTACTTTACTTTGGCATGATGGAAATGTTCTGAACTCGATAGAGGTGGAAGGTTGCACAACACTGTCAATGTACTCAATGCCACGGAACTGTTCACTTCAAAATGGTGAATTCTGTGTTATACAAATTTCACCTCAATCGATTATGTTAACATAAAAGATATTCTGCTTTCAGTTCACTCTTTCTATTTCCTTATTTCCAGAGTAAAGATTTCCAAAGATCTTCATAATGTTATTTAACTTTGGAAGGTTCTTAGAAACTAATATTTATGGGGTTTTTTTTTTTTGCGGGGGGGATGTATATGAGGTTCAGTAATTCTTTAAGCTTCATTTCAGGGTTTTTTAAATTTCCTCTGTTAAATTCAAGTAAAATTAAATGTAATAAACTTCATTTTTAAAATGGTGTATCAGTTCATCTCTGTATGATAGGATTCAAAATATTTTTTTTTAAATTTTTTAAGTTGACTTATTTATTTATTTTGAGATGCAAGGCTGTCTCAAAATAAATAAATTGTGCAGTGGCATGATCTTGGCTCACTGCAACCTCTGCTTCCCGGGTTCAAGCGATTCTTCTGCCTCAGCCTCCCGAGTAGCTGGGATTACAGGTGACCGCCACGACTGCCGGCAAGTTTTTTGTACTTTTAGTAGATACAGGGTTTCACCATGTTGTCCAGGATGGTCTCGAACTCCTGACCTTGTGATTCACCTGCCTTAGCCTCCCAAAGTGCTGGGATTACAGGCGTGAGCCACTGCGCCCGGCCAACATTTATTTTTTCCACAGAGATGGGGATTTGCTATGTTGCCCAGGCTGGTCTCCAACTCCTGAGCTCAAGCAATCTGTTCACCTCAGCCTCCCAAAGTGCTGGGATTACAGGTATGAGCCACCATGCCTAGCCAGGATTAGGGACAATTTTTATCCTCTTTATGTTTTTCTACATTTACCAAACTTTTTAATAAAAAAATATTACTTTTATACATCAGGAAAAAATGTCTTCAATTTATTAAAAAGATACAAATGTTAAATAAAATGGGAATGGGTACTAGAAGAGACCACTTTGGGAAAGGACCTGGGTTATTCTAACTTGATATTCAGGATGTAAAAAGTTAAACATGTTTCAAACCAAGAATGATTTGAGGGCATCTGGATGCACATACAATTTAAACAGACAAAATACACAAGAAGAGAATAAAGAAATATACACCTTACTATAAAGACATGATTATATCAAAAATTTATTCTCCTTTAAAATTCTGAGATCTCAGTACTTGTGCCTATGTTCTCACTATAAAAGAACCCAGTAAGGACTGTGGTGTTTCCCAGCAGTTACCCAGTTCTCTCACTAAGTCATCTGATAGCCTATATTGAATGGGGAAAGAGATGAGAAGCACAGAAGAGACAAGAAAAAAGGCAGCTTCACTGAGGCAGAAGAGAAACTATCTCATTTATTTTACTCTCCCAAAAAATCAGTGATGAGCAAACATTCACATGATCTAAAGCTGGGATTCGGAAACTGCGTAAGTGACACATACCAGGAAGCATTAAATAAAATATACAAAGAATATAATATAATATAGCATACACCACATCCCAGGTAGTTGGAGTAAGAATTAAACTTTTGTTTCAGTTTCATTTATACCCATAGGACTCGGCTCATAAATGTACATTTTATTCCTCACTACGGGTTGTAATAAGGAAAAAAATTGTGAATGTTATCTGATATACCTCCAATTCTAAGTTCAATCATTCTAGTTTCCTACTTCTGTAAGAAATGGTGGGGGAGTGGGGAGTAGAGAAAAGAAAATAAAAGGTCTATGGATACAAAAAGTATTCCCTAAGGAAAATGCTGAAGTCTGCTGGTGGGAAAACACTTTTAAAAGACACCCTGAAGACTCAGCTAACTGAGAAGAAAAACAATGGACAAAGGGGAAAGAATGGAAACTGGTGACTAAAAGTAGGAGGCAGGACAGAAACAGATCAGGAAACTGAGTAACCGTGTTGGCTGGCCAACACTATTCCCTGAAGGACTCTTCAATCTAAATTTGGCAGAAGTACCCAAGCACACATACTTTTTTTTGTACAAAAATCTATGGAACGCATTACTATGGTAAGGGTATTGAGAGTATTCTATTTTAAAATGTATATTTTGAATAAATATATGCTTACCTTTGGGGAGAACTTTACTGGTCCACAAATCCGGTTGACATGTGAAAATGCATGTTCTTGTTATAGATCAAAAATGACTTAGGCTCAGTACAACAGAGTTCTCCAAACACAAGTCTTGGTTTGCAAACAGAAATTGAAGAGGAATCAAGAAACAGACAAGCTAAGTTCTCTCTTAACTGCTGGAAAAACAGCATCTCCCTAGAAAAATAAATAAAATAGCTTCAAATGCTCCTACCCCAGGAGAAACCCTAAATCATATCAAATCATAAATCATAACCCTAAATCATATCAAACCCTAAATTATATCAAACAATACCATACAAAAAGCAGGCTAAAAAGAATTCCTATCAAAATATTTTAAGTTCTTAGAGGACAAATATTAGCCTACTCATTAATCACTCTTTCCTTCACCTATTTTAACTCCTGGAAGAAAGAGAGGCATTTTATAATGCCAAAAATAAATGGCATTTTACATATATAATACAAAAACAACAGGTTTCACTATCAAACGATCACCTCTAATTCGTTTAAGTTTGCACTGAAATGGCAAAAAAGTGTTGAAATAAGAAACATACTATTCTAACACGTAGTAAAATAATATCCCATTTTAAAATCACATAATATAAAAATGGAAATTTGACATTTGAAAACAAATGAGAAAAAAATTCCATTGAAAATGGATTCTAAAGCATTAATAAAATGTAAAATTAGAATACAGATGCATCAGTGATGACAAGTGAATATTATTTAGGTGTTAAAATTAATTTTCACAGCCTTTTTCTAAAGAAAAAACTTTTTTCATCTTCAGTAATACACCTCCATAAATAATCATACACATAGATATATTTACATAAAATCTGTAAGATTAACAACTAAATTTCTTAACTAGGCTATCCAATTTAAGTAAAGAACCTCTTAATAATAAAAAATTACTAAATATATTATCAACTTCCTCTAGATATCATTCTCTATTAGTTCTTAAGGTTCAACAACCTGTTAAGAGCTTACTGGTGGCTCGGTACACATATAAAAAGATAGCAGCAGTTAGCTAATATAATGTAAAACATAATCAACAACATGAAACTGAAAAAGCTGACAACAGATTCCAACTGAAATTTACTGAGATTCAATACAAATTATTTCAAACACATTTTAGTATCACATGCTAATAAAATCGAGTAACAAAAGTCACTCTTCTGGAAACAGGATTTCCAGAAACTTTTTTTTGTCCTTTTAGATATACTCATTTTATTGAATACAATTCATGCTCTATTTGTGTGTCGGTTTGGTGAAGAGAATTATGCATTACATTGTGATGCTGCATTTTCTTATTTTAACTTTCAGTCTAATTTGAAAAGTAACAAACAATATTTTCCTAAATTATATTACATATATGGAAAATATCTAAATATCATCAGCTGCTCCTTGCACAGTGCTATATTCACATTTTTTCATGTATGGTTGAACTAAAAATTGCTATACCACTAAAACACAGCCTGACTATTTCTCATCTTTCTTTTGTAAAAATACAGACCACTTTTATTCCCTTCGGATGCCTGTTTAGAATAAAAGATATTCAAATAGTTTTCAACTACTCCAACATATGTGTATTTGATGAAATCTGTATTTAAGTACCAATATATATTGTCATAGTACTATGTCACTACTATTCAGAGAATGATGGCTATTTCTTCAGAAAGTGTAACGGTAACAAGAAGAAAAAGTAACACTACAATCAGTGTCCTGAGTAGTTGTAATGTGTTTTATTTCTAAATACATACTTTAGATCAATTTTTTATTTTAGGCCAATTTTCAATTTCTTACACTGCCAAGATCCTTAATTAACCTTCTTGTTGTGACAGGATATAGCCAACAAAAGAACAAATTGAGACACCTACCATCAAAGAAACCAAGAAAGGAGAAGAGAAAAAAAAAGAGAACACTATGGGCAGAATTAGCAAACACAAAAAAACATCTCTACAGTAAGACTATATGAAACAACTAAACTTTCTCAGAAATCCATATGCAGAAGGAATATTTACCACAGTCTCACTGAAAGGATATACCAGTTCTTTTTCTAGCTATTCTCTTAGGAATTACATAAATATTGTGAAATCTAGAAATAGATATACACATGCACATATAAAACTTATTGTCAGTGTATAAGTTACTGCTGCCCTGGGACTGCAATAATTTATGTAACATCTGTTTTCATATTTTCCTAATTTTTTTCCTAATTAACATGCATATTCAACGCACAAATGCGCAGACCACCTCTTTTTTCTGCTGACTGTGCCTCTTTTTTTGAAGTTGTGCACTCCTAGGGAGAATTCAGGATAGATGAAAACCAAAATCTTATTGAGAGCACTAATTTTAAAATGTAAACAACAGCATGAAACCAATTTTCAACAAAATACTAAAGTCTTAGGAGTTCTCAAAATACACTTCAATCTGCCAACAATAGTCAGACTAGTAGTAAATAACGGCCCAAACATAAAAAGTCAACATAAAAGCATAATCTCAATATTACTTAAACATTCTTGATTTCAAACTTCCAAAGGAGCTAAGGAACCTACTAAAATATCCATGATTTCTTGTCTTAACAAGGTTGGAAAAATTTTAAAGATTTTATGCCTTAGACAACTAAAATAAACACATTCCATATACTAAACATAAATTTGTATATAACCAGTGATCGCCTTTTTGGATTATAAACTTCAAATACTGTGCAGATTCAACAAAAGAGGAAAGTTTTTATTGTAAAGTACATTCAAGTACAATACAGTGAAGTTCTGAGAAGATTTTAAGCTGTATTGGGTAATTCAAAATACTACTTATGCTTTTATTCTTTTTGTAGACATGGGGGTCTCACTTGGTTGCTTAAGCTGGTCTCAAGCTCCTGGCTTCAAGAGCTTATCAAACCAATGCTACAACAACTTAAGAATTCCCAAATAAAGTGTAAAGTCGTTAGAAAAGCAAGTAAGTAATAAAGTCATACTTCCAATTTAAGACTCCCTGAACCCACACCCCAAGCCCTTTCCACTAAAAAGTAGGATGGCATGTGTACTGTCAAGAGTCTGAGCTTTAAAATAAATCAACCTTAGTTACAATCCTGGCCAGTATTTCCTACTGGCAATATTTCCTCACCGGTAATTCCTACCTTGCTAGAAGTGTTAACATTTTTGAAAATATTAAGTGAAGATTGCGACACGACACATAGGGTTGTACATCACTATTAACGTCACATGTTCCTCTACCACAGGAGTGCCGGCTGAGGAAAGACTTAGAGCAGAAGGCTATTCACAGATCTCATTGTTCTAAGGCTGACCTGTAAGCTTTGAAAACTTCACGGTCTAGAGAATGGCAGGTCATCAGGAACAGCTTACCTCCATCCTTTCCCCATGTGGGGAAAAAAGGGGTTCCATCAGAAAAGTCAGGAGCCAATAGCCTAAAAGCCATCAGTAGGGAATTCAGCAGTGGTTCTAAAACTTTAGTGTGCATATTAAAAAATCACTTGAGAAGCTTATTAAAATGGAGATTCACAATCAGACTCTCTCAAACATTCTGATACAGTAGTGGAAGAGAATACTTTTCCAGCTTTTTTTTTTCCGGAGACAGTCTCGCACTGTCGCCCGGGCTGGAGCGCAGTGGCACAATCTTGGCTCCCTGCAACCTCTGCCTCCCAGGTTCAAGCAATTCTCCTGCCTCAGCCTCCCGAGTAGCTGGGATTACAGGTGCCCCCCATCACACCCAGGTAATTTTTTTGTATTTTAAGTAGAGACGGGGTTTCACCATGTTGGCTAGGCTGGTCTTGAACTCCTGACCTCGTGATCCGCCCGCCTTGGCCTCCCACAGTGCTGGGATTACAGACGTGGGCCACTGCGCCCAGCCACTTTTCCAGCTTCCTAAAAATACATGTACCAACTAAAACCACTTTGTATTCTTTAGCCACATAACTTTCAAATTATTTGTTGAACAAATTAAAATGAACCCAACTTAATATGAAAATTTCAGATATTTCTCTGAGCAACACTTCCAATGTTCCTTCTCAATAAAAAAAAGGAATGATCAAACAAAAGCAGTTTTAACTATACATAAAACGCCTCCACCAAATTTGATTTTCCTTAATACAAAATTTACTTTTCTAATTAAAGACTCATTTACTGATAACATATAACTCATTTACTCCTTTACTAAGTCATTTATTAGTATACATACTAGAAGACATAGAAATGTTAAGAGAGATGAATGGTTCATAGGAAAATCTTGTTGCAGAAGTTATACATAAGAGGGTCTAATATAATAAGAGTTACCAAAGAAAAATTTTTTTTAAAGAATAAAAGCGGCCGGGTGTGGTGGCTCATGCCTGTAATTACAGCACTTTGGGAGGCTGAGGCAGGCGGATCACAAGGTCAGGAGTTCAAGACCAGCCTGACCAACACAATGAAATCCTGTTTCTACGAAAAATACAAAAAAGCAGCTGGGTGTGGTGGTGGGCGCCTGAAATCCCAGCGACTCGGGAGGCTGAGGCAGGATAATCACTTGAACCCAGGAGGCAGAGGTTGCAGTGAGCAGAGAAGGTGCCACTGCACTCCAGCCCGGGCAACAATGTGAGACTCTGTCTCCAAAAAAAAAAAAAAAGAAAGAATAAAAGCTTACATACAGCCCTGCTTGGTGATGCCAGTGGACACTAACATACACAGGTACCAAAGCAGTATTCAGGACAGAAAATGTCTACCATATTTCCCAACACTGTCAATCACTCAAAACATTAAAAGGATGTCCACTTTCCCCTCTGCATGAACCACAAACTGTCACTATGGAACACTGCTGATCCGACAGTTCCCATTAACCTGATCTTCTGGCACACTAAGTCAACCCTGGCAATAATGTTCTGGTGACTTACAAATTCTAACAAATTATAAACTCTAAACTTTCACCCAAGGTTAACAGAACTTATTTTTTAATTTTGAAATTTTAAGATGATATAATTCTTTCAAGGCTTATCTATGAAGTCATATGTAGGCAGCTAGTTTTTAAATTATTGCATAGTATTTCCTTGTATTCTTCTAAAACAAAGATGCCCACTCAAGTTAGTTTGTTTACACCCCATGACTTACATCATGACTGTGCTAGGGAATAAAAGGCCAAAGATAGTAAAAATTCCTTGAAAATTGACTTTAGTAAAAAGAGTATCT